CCAGACCTCCCATCACACATGAAGATTGAAATCTCTAACATTTGCTGAAATTACTATGACGCTGTGCTGGCTAATGACACAAAATTTGCCGTCAGATTTACACTATGTGATAATGTGTGCGCCGAAATAAACGTGCACACAAGGTGCATTCACATACGAGTGGATTGCCCTCTGACAATTGTGGAACGTAACAAGTAAATTTATTGCTCGACGATAAACTAAATAAAGGTGTTGTCCAAAGTGTAATTACTATTCATTGCACCAAACCGTTATTTGGCGAATTTAAGTTCTTCCAGGTATTTCCCACACGTCGTTGGGTCTAATAGTACAAGTAAACCAGCGGTCAACTGCAGAGGAGTTGCGATTAAGGACATCTAGGTGTGTTCGAAATGACCACAGAGGGGGTATAATAAGTTCCATGGAGGACATGAATGTATACAGAATTACCTAATGTTTACTTTTAAAGTCGGGGTGGAGGTGGTGAACCCAAAGTGGTGGTCAATGCTTACACCGGACACAATTAACATTTATCTAACCTTTCAGTACGCGTAGAAAAAAAGACTTACTTAGCCATCTCAATATTTAGCAAATTGGGAAATATGGTACATTGCGACGATGAAGTACCGTGTCCTGTATCTCATCATATCAACATGAAATGAGGTTTATGTGTAAGAGCTGTTAATTGACAAAGAAGGCGTCTTTGAGGTATAATTGCAAGGGTTTCTTTGCTGTACTACCGGCGTTGGGAGCCTATGCGAAAGGTTTTGATAATTGGAATCCGACATTTTAGGTTACACATGGCGAAGTGCAATGTCATGCTACTTTGGAAGCTATTCCAAACATTCATGGCCGAAGTGCTTGCCTCCGGTCTGGCCCATTTGTTTTGCTTTCTTCTGGACATTAACACACCGAATTTACCCATCGTCGCTGGCTTCATCGCCGGCGCATCCGTCTACCTTGGAATCTGGTGCAGCTTCTCTACCAGCGGAGCCCAAATAAACCCAGTGGTAACCCTAGCCGTTGTGATCACACGTCGACTCCATCCACTCTACGCCCCCGTTTACCTAGCTGGAGAGTTTGTCGGTACAATTGGCGCTATGGGGATTGCTTGGAGTATTTCTCCCTTCAAGGGACAAGCTCCAGGGACATATGGGATGACGCTTCCTGGGAAAGAGGTGACTTCCCTGGTGGCTGTCTGTACGGAAGGAGTCAGTACTTTCATCCTAGTTATTGTCATTCTGGCTTCATTGGATGAGCTACGCCCCAAGGAATGGCGACCCGAGCATGGTGCTCCCTTTCCGTTGGCCGTAATGTTAGCGCTCACCATCTCTGTAATTCTGACAGTAAGTGAACATCATTTTTTGTATTCATGTGATGGTGGGGGTGGTGGGCTATTGTGACAAATTACAACTAACCCTCTTTCAAGTACACACGCACACACACAAACACAGAACTGTACGATGCTTGCATCCTCGGAATGCCCGTCAAGTCGCCTTGATGATAAGTAACACTTTCCCACAATTGTTCTCGGAGATATTCTTGAATTGAGGAACTTTAACTAGGGACCGAAACTTCATGGTCAAAACGAAATGTCGGGCTCCCACTAAATAGGATTTCAACTAAAAAGTGCCTTAAAGGTTTCATCTCATCCATCATCACTGGACCACTTCAGTCGCTTACCCAGAAACTTTATGCACTGCAAGTCGATTGGATGCCTGAAGACGTTCAACCTAATTCTAAGAAACGCCTCTGTTTGCACCAAAACACAGCCATCGTTGTAGAATCATTGTGGAAATAGTTGTCGTTTGAAGGAACAAACAAAATAATGGGAAAAAGCGTACAGTAAGATGAGTTGTAACATGTTACCCTCAGAGTAAACCCGATTTCAATTAGTATCTACAAGCTTAGTCTGGGTAGTCTAGAGCTGAGACGCCGACCGACTGCGTTTTGATAAATAAGGAGTTCCCTTTTAATTAAGAAGTAGGATTAATGTGTAGTAAATGCCGCTTTCCTCCGTTATATTTTAAACTTCACTAAAACTCGCCGACGAATGTTATTTTGCGTTGCCATCGAGAAATGCAAGAGTATTAAATCACACGAATATCTGGTTCTTAGCTTTACTTGGGCTTTAAGTCAATTGAGTTATTCTTTTAAAGTTGCCGATATCTGGAGCCAGTATGAACCCAATCAGAAGCATTTCGGCGGCAATCATTCAAGGCAACTACGATCGACAATGGGTGAGCGCAAATCTGTTGACCTTATTGCATTGAGCTGCATCGTAGATAGGGCTTATTTTGCAGTTAGGCTTACCTGGAACGCAGACGCCCACATGGGAAGTGGAGTCAACTACACTTACCAAGGCCCACAGTAAAGCCAGCATAATTCAAATGAATTTGCTGTCGTGTCTTGTTTCACGAAAAGAAGATTACCGAGCCTAGTATTTCACCACATAACTGCGGTTTTTAGGTCAGAAAATCCACGTGTAGATAGGAATGTTGATGGATCTAAGATTTTTCACCAACAAGACTATGATTAATAAACTGAAAAATTGCGATAATAATCTTTGTTGATGGCATAAGGTAAACAGTTATGCAAGTTCTATTGATCTACGGAAATAAGTCAGTCTATATAATATCAACGGAATAGTTTGGTAGCGCCTGGAAAAATCCGATTGTAAATCCACGTCCTGAAACAGGGGCCTTCATAATAAATGCCTGTGGTAACGTTGAGACTGAGTTGTCTTAGCGGATTTTAACAAGACTTGGTGGTTGGTGAATCAGAAATATTAGGCCCCAATTCCGATCAGGATGTGAGTTAAAGGCACCGAGTATTTTTGGAGCAAAGCAATTTTGGTACACTGAAGTGAATCTGTGACGTGTAACTTCTCATATGAGTGCGTTTTAATCGTCCGATTTAAAACTGGCATGGCGATATTCTTCTACACTAGTATCCGCATTTTTGTTTGTTTGAGATATATTTTGTTGGTCCGATAATGGGCACAATCGTCGCCTGTGCTCTATACGAGTTGGTAATCTGTCCGCACGCATCTCTTCGCCGTACTCGAATCTGTTTTTGCTCTCGCAAATTTGACCGCAAGGATTCCTACGAGCTCAATAACGTTGCAATCAGCGACAGTCCGACTACCTGATGGACTAGCCAATGAAGTAAATCATGTGACCTAGTTGTTAATTGATTTCTCAATACTGATTCCCTAATCCGTGCAATTTACTAGTTGAATAATAAATGTTCCGAAGACTGCGACACCCCATTTATTCTTTTGCTTTGCTGTGCTTACGAAATATGGACGATTAAAATGTACCGAAAAAAGACATTCGAAGAAGGAATTATTTGCAAAAACAAAGAAATCGTCAATAGAACAAAATGGAATACGGGATTTTGTGCACCCCAATTCCTGGAAACGACAGTCAGACATGGGTTTGGAATATTTCAAATGCTAGATGCTGTGCAATGACTTAGCTATCAACCGTGCAACAATGAGGAAGCGTTGATAAAGGCGGCTTACAAATAATGGAAAGAAGAGGTTTCATCTGGACGTTACGAATTCAGAAGAAATGCGCGCTCCAATATCCGTGGCGTGTAAATTGTTTAGGTCGCTTCGTGACATCCCCACACTACCCTAAATCATTTTGATTAGATCTGATGAAACTTAGATGATATGTTCAGGAGGTAAATCATTTGAGAAACCCTTCTTTGTGATGAGAGATAACCGATTGTAAGTGACATGTTATTGGTGATTAAGTGACCTAGTCACCAAGATGCCTTATATGTGCTGTGTGAAACGGCCAGACAAGACATTTGATAGAGTCCGTTGACTATTCGCTGCAAGTGCTGTGTTCGAGTTTGTTGGTTTACAATGGGCCTCTTCGTTACATTACATGTTCTGAAGTCATTTAGGTTTTGGCTAAACCTAAACCACCTTGTATACTTCTGCATCTAAGAATCGGAGACAAATCATTCAGAGGAGCCTGGTTACCATACTTGGTTCCCCAATAAATGGGTCGCCAATTGGTATACGAAGTCTACCATGGTAACGCATTTCACAAGTCACAAGCAAAATGTGGCAGTAATATCTGGTTAACAGCACATGGACAGCTAGCAAGTCTCTAAGCTGTAAATTAAAACAACTCATCTGCCCGTTAGTAGCTAGATGGCTGAAGGTCAGGTTCGACGCCATGCCTGAAACGGATGCCTCTCTAAAAAGTAGCTGATTTTCGAAATAATCAACTTAGTTTGTTCGTTGGCTTTTTATGCAATTCTGATCCGAATTTCGGTACGACATTCGTTCGCCAAATGCTTGACCAAAATAAACAAAAGGATTAATGATTCAGTAGGGGCAGTTATCTGTTAGGTTTAATGGTTGGGGTGTAAGTGGAATGCCTCGGGTTTGTACTTTGCAGGCATTAGCTTTTCCAATCCCCTCCTAGAACTGAATTAAAGGCCGTGCACTTTGGGTACGTAATTAGCAATGTCGCTTAATGATGACGTTGGGTTATTTGAAATCTCGAAAAGATGAGGAAAGCTTTAGAAAGTGCAAATAGACAGCAATTTTATCTTTTGAGTCGCTTTAACCAGTGAGCGCGTTGAAGACACCACTCAGAAATCCACCGCTCTCCGAGCAATTCCATGTCATTGATTCATCACAACACTGTAAGACTAAGTATTTGCGCACGCAACTAGGGAACTCGTGGTTAAAACCTGCCACCAACTCAAAAGCAAACTAGGAATTCAGCCTGAATACTTCCAACATTCGAACTTATTTCCAAAGTAACATGCTCGTTGATTTACCGACTATTAGGATTTCTTGTGAAAACACCAAATGCATCTGCATTCTGTGTCCCAATTTGCACCCCAAAACTACCCACCACAGAACATCACTGGTACATACTGTACCTAACTAAGTATATAGCATTTTCGACAGAACACGCATTTTCTCGCAAATGACGCCCTTTTTGCTAAGGTAGCAACGTTGTCGTGCTCGCACGTCACGCAAAACTACCCGTTAATAAAAAAAGGCACTAATGTTTCCAAGTCAATTTTCGTGAATTTTTTCAAGATAGTAGTGAGAGCGATTAGCGTTGATTAGGCAAAATACAAAATATCGTGGCAATGCCTTATCAAATTTGCCAGAGCACAAATCGCAAGGCCTTCGATAGGTCAGGTGCGAATGCTCCACATACCCATATTATTATGGTTTTGATCATGTGCGAGATTACAACACTAATGGGCTGAGAAATAAATCCGTTCGTTTTTCAAGTGCAATTTACCACGATCTCGCATGCGTTCGACTAGGCATTGTGTGTGCTTATATATCGGATGCACCACTCTACGAGAGTGTTTCCACTCAGTTCTCTTAAAAGTGCAAGTCCATTCGTCGTTCCCCTAGAAATGGAATGGCAACTTGACAAAATCCGCACTTTTGACACAAATTGCTTTCCTGCTGATAACATGGACTTAATTTAAGCATTTGGGCAACCTATGAGGACGACATCACTGCCGCGCAAGTAACACCGCAAACCGAATTCAGGGCCCCCACTACAGACCGCTAATCCAACGCTATCTGCATCTGTGTTATGTGCCACAGCCTGCATCCTCCAAACACTTCCCGCTATTGCAAGTCACTGGTACATTCTGCATCTGAAAATAATGTGGTGCATTTTCGTCAGCGCACGCGTTTTCTCTCCAATAATGTCATTTTGCGACGGTCGCAGCGTTTTCATGCTTGCGGCTTACGCGAAGCCACACGTCAATGTAAAAAGATATTATTGTTTCAAGCGGGTGGCGACATGTTACGAAATGGTGGACCATGTTTCAGGACTAACTAGTGTGAATCAATGCGATTCACAGCAAATATGGCTGGATGGACTGGTGATTTTCATGAGTTCAGTGCATGTGTGGCCCTGGTGATGACTTATTCAATGCTAGAGCGTCTGACCTTGTCATCTACGATATTGTGAAGAGAATTGGGACGACTTAATGCTCCAGTGGCCACGAAAATCAAACATACGGCTTGTCAGGTGGTGGGTCGCGCGTTTATTGGTCTGTTTACGGTGTATTTAATGAGAGTGTGAGGGTCGGCTTGCACTTTAAATCAAGGTTAGAACGCTCTCGGATAAGTGGACTTTGTGACATTTTTTTTACATATTCCCAAAGGAAACACCTATTTCTCGCGACCGGTAAGTGTAGACAAGCAATTTGTGCACGTATTTGTCTGAAATGTGTAGTTCGTTTTTTTCGCACGATGTCTACCTTCATGCAAAATTGCATTTGTATTTAAACAAACTGCAGTAGGTGCTTATTTAAATAGGTTTGTGCAAACGTTCCAGACCTCCCATCACACATGAAGATTGAAATCTCTAACATTTGCTGAAATTACTATGACGCTGTGCTGGCTAATGACACTTCCACACGTGGTATTTACAGTTTTTTTCTTTTTCGAAACATGTCTAGACTTCTCGTTTGGTCGGATTTTAAATTTGGACACAAAAGTATCTGTCGTTAATGAGTCCAATGTATTTTAATTGATTTTAAGATATATTGCAATGTTATTGTAAACACCTTTTGCGACTAATGCAATAAGTATTATTTAATTTTTTTAGTTCTCCTGTATTTGGTTTTATTATGAACGTTATATTTATTAATTTGTTTTAGTTAAAAAGTGCACTTGTATTGCTGGCGGCTTGTAAAATTTGGTGTTTTAATCTCTTGTTTTGTGTCTTTGCTGATTGCCTTTTTGTTGTCTTGGTCTTTTGACTTTTCTTTCTGGACTTTCGAGTGCACTTTGTATATTACATATTCTTTGTTGCCGTAGAGGGTTGTTTTTATATTCTGTTTTTGCTTTACCGTGTGCCATATTTCCTTTTTACGCCTCAAGGTTTTTTGAATTTTTTCTTTTGTCTGTTTTGCGTCCAAAAGACACCGTAAAATTGTTGTTAAGCACGTTTATCGAGGGTTATTTAAAATAAAAAAATATTAAACTACTGCGTTTTTTGCTATACACTGAGTATCTGAGCGGGCGAATATAAGCTATTGTCCCTAGCTAGCACTAATGTCACAGGAAGCGCCGGAAACTTAGTTCGTCCTTCCGTCTTTGAATATGTAGATTTAATTTCCAATACAGTTGCCTTGTTTTTAAACTTGCATATATCGTGTCTTAATACCCTTGATGTTTGAATTGAGTGGCTTTCGTAATTTTAGATTGCAAGATAACCTCTTTGTCAATAATTTTTATTTATTTCATTTTAAGGAATGGATGCTGGACTCACAGGCAAGGTAGAAACGTCTTCACAAAGAACTATAACATTGGAGTCCCTATTAGATGCACAGGCACCAAAAGGCAGCTTTCAAGAGCACGGATGTAATCGAAAGGCATCGGAAACAGACGTCTTCGTGCTCCACCCCGTGCCTGTCAGCAAGCAGCCACGTGGACAAATGTCTCGGGTCAAAGAAGCCTGTCTGGAGTTGGTCGCTATTCTCCTGCAACAGGATGTCAATGGGTTCTTCCATTTTGTGCCGAAAAGGGTCAGACCTCTTTATAATCTATCATCTATTTTGTGTTTTGCCTAACATTACTTGGCAGTCAAAGGCACTGTGTGAAACTATTAGTTCCCAAGTAGATATGCTCTAATATATGCGTAACCTTAATCACTTGTATTCTCCGAGCAGATCACATTAATTGATATATTTCTCCTTCTAATTTGTCATTGGCGAATCGAATTATAATCCAACATCTTACTTAAAAACGTAAGGTCTAAAGTTTATAGTGTATTCGGATACTTAGCATGATTTTGGCTTCATCCCGTAAGGGCGATGAGAATCACAGTTTTCCCTTCTTTATGGTCCCTTTTCAAGTCTTCGAACAATACTGCACTAATATACACCCTGTTCCAATTTTAATATAACGAGCGTTTGAATTTTAAGGGGCTTTACACAAATTTCAGTCAGTTGATTTAATGGTGCTAATCTCGGTGTAAAACTAACGCACCTTGAAGTTTGTTTAGGTATTGTTGATTTTGAAGTCATATTTTTTCTTGGCAACACCGTTTAGGAATGAAATAATGTTGTTTCAGGCGAAAAAAGGGGAGTGTCCTACAGCGTTATGCTTACGTGGACTGGAACGTCTCATTCACACAAACAGTATTAAGACTCTCAAGGATCTACGCGATCGCGTTGACGAACTCTTTCAAAGTTACCAACGAGTAAACGTGCCTTTAGGACCACCTTCGTTAGATGGCAATGAGGCTGT